AACCAATGGACTGTGACGAGTGCCCGAGTTCTACCTACCGAACACCCCTAAGCATATGTCTATGATATAAACATGAAATAAGTGTAGGTCATGCATAACATCTGCCCCTAAACTGTTGAATCATGTGAATAACATAAGTGAGGAGACATACTCAAAAGACATATATACATATACATGCAGAATACAGTAGGACGAGCCGACAAGGCCACATACTATCCAACAATACATGACTGTCTACAGACCTCTAATAGAGTGTAAAATTATATAAAGGACGGGGCTGGGCCCCGTCATACCCTTATATGTATACAAAAGTATCGTACCAAAACCCAATAGTAGCTCCGAATCAAATGGAGCACACCAACTCTCGCTGAGCTAGGATCCTAAGGAAGGGGACCGTCAGCCTGTCTATCTGCACCTGCGAGCATGAAACGCAGCCCCCCAAGCAATAGGGGCGTCAGTACGAATAATATACCGAGTATGTAAGGCATAAAAATTAATATATAAAAGACATGAAAGAAACATGGAGTAAAGAACTAAACTTGTAAGTCTGAATAGTCCTGTGAATCATGAAAATATTTATAATGCCATATGTATGCGTATAAATATCATATCATGCATAGGTATATGCTTACATAACATCATCAAGCCCCTAAGGGCATCCCATAATATCATCTCAGCCTTTGTGGGCGAAATCATAAACGTATACCAGATGATCAGGTGGTCGTGTGTATATAATATCATAACCTTTCTCCCATACCTCATATACATATACTATATACATATATAACGTTATCTGGTCATGAGTCAATATCCATATATAAATGAATGCATTGCATAATGAAATAAGTCAATAAGATCTCTTGGAATGTCATGAGACTCATGAACAGACGATATGATAGTAGGACATATGAGGGAATCAAGAATATAGGTAACCCTAGTACTTCTAGGAATAGAATCATTCGTGAAAGTGGCGTGCTTGCTCGTTTCGCTATATCATATGGATCATGCCAAAAGGAAAGACGGGATAGACTTAACATAACTTAATTCCATTGAGTCCTTAATACCCTCCAAGCAATTCTTCAAACAACACAACTCAATCTACCATAGCATAAAGAGATTCAAAATCAGTGTTGAGTAAAGGCTAAGTCCACAACTTAAACTAGTAGCTCGTTTATATAAATTTGGGCAGCATCTCCCCTGTAACAAGAGCCTCCTACAATACCATATACCAACAAAAATGATCAGAGCAATCCAGCAATACATAATTATCAATAACAAGACACCATATAACAACAACAAGTCACAACTACTTCACGACGAGCGGCTAGCTCCGATTGAAACCTGTATACCCCATATCACCCCTTATAGACTTCTTAACTTAACTTAACAGTATCATTAACATGATAATGAATTCATTCATCAATGATTTCAGCCTTATACCATATATTTATAACCAAAAAAATAATTCATAACTCCAACTATCCTCAATTAGAATATTTATTCACTAGTTCATGTCTAGTCCATCAATTTAACTTAATAAACATCAAAAAAACCTTAAGCTAATAAAAGAACACAATATAATTACCTCATACAGTGGATTCAAGTCTAGATCCATGTTATATATAGCTTACAACAGCCCAACACACCCCAATTATTTCATACCCAAAACGACAACTATAGTAGTGTCACACACCCCGAAAATATTACAAATAACGTCTAATCCACCATTTCGCTATTATGTGGTGTTTCTCCACACAATTTTTTCTCCAAAACTCCATTAAATAGTAGCAAAATAGAAATTCCAAAAGCAACATGAAACATGCCACAAAACAGTCCACTACAAGTCAAATAACTCGAATTCACGGCTTTCGATCACCGTCCCGTGAGTTCTAACTATTAGAAAATAAATTTATCAAACTTTTTTAATATTTAAAAGCTTAAATACAGAAAGTACGCATTTTCTTAACTATTAAATACATCCCAAAACTCAAACTACAAAGAAAAAGAGAGGCGATATAGCGATATTTATGTCATAGGGATCACTTTAATGTTATCGTTTCTTGATTTCGTGCCCGGGATGATAATCTTTTTTGAAGCCCGCCCTTGTATAGAGCTTAAGGATAAGGTTAGGGATGTTATTTGGTCGTGCTTTCTGGAAATATGGAGAAAGAGACGAGATAAGGGATGTACATATCCCGTTTTTTTAAAAGTAAAAAAGGTGCTACTTGGCACCCTCACATTGGCCCTTCTTCAGACGCTTATAACTTTTATCCGGACGTCGTATGAACGAACGGTTAAGAGCGTTGGAAACTACATTCCAAGACCTTCAATTTTGTATATAATATGTCCCAAAAAGACCCCTTATAGCAAACGAAATTTATTTATCAAAAAGCTCTGTTACAAGGCAAATCCTTAGTCGATTTTCCGCAACTTTAGTCCGATTTTTCCCAAACTTTATATTTTCTATCCAAACATTATATATAGATATATTATGACTTTAAACTCATTTAAATCGTGATTAACAAGTCTAATATTTATTACATCACCTTGGGACGCACATGGTGTAACAAGTAACCACTTGAACTATAGGCCAAATCCTTGTTACACACTTTCTGAGGACCAATGTCACCTTACACACGCAACCTTTCAAAATTGTATCTAGTACACACCACTTTTTCTTGATCGATTTTTGTTTGGAGATTGCATCTACGTGCCAATCAAAATGTGACATGTGTCATAACTCATAACTCATCTGTAAATAAATAGTACTTTGTATATTTAAAATAAACCTTAATTGATTAAATTAAAAAAAATATTATGTCATCTTCCCCAAGCACCCCCCTTCCCTCCTCGTCCCATTAACTTCCTCTTTGGACATGGAAGAGGAGAGCAATATCATCTATCATCTATCGAGAATAATACATGGAGCTCAGAAGAGAAGAGCAAAATCAAGGGCAACAAACGAAGCCAAGAATGCCATCATCATTATCACTGCAACAACGTTTTCAAATCCGATAATGAAAGAGATGAATATTGAAATTGCAACTTCTCCTTCCTCCATTTTCCTCCTCCATTTTCAGATCTTATACTACGACCAAACAAAGCAAATCAAAGTTAATTTTTGGTTTCCATGATTAAAGAACTCCATTGTAAAAAAATCTCCAATTTTCTCTTATAATTTTATTCATTCTCATGAAATACGAAAAGCTATTCCTTTTTAATTATGTAATGGTTAGATGTTTTGATGAATTTTAATGGTAGAAAAAGAAGTAAGACAAGTTTGGAAGGGCAAGAGACGACAAATCATTTAATTTTTGTTATTCTCATAAAAGAGCATCTTGTTTAAATTCTTTATTATGGGTTTTGATGAATTTTTTTAANTAAAGCTATAGGGGGAAGAGATGAAACAGAGGGGAATTTGGGGAAGACAAGTGAGGAAATGGTGGGGTGGGGGTGGTGGGGCTGGTAGTTTTGGGAAGGCGGAAGGTATTTTCATTTGATAAAAAAGAAAAAATAAGAAAAATGTTATTACTTTGACACATAGCACTAAATACGGATTTAGACAAAAAAAATTTCAAGTTTTACGCGTCCAGTCTTTTTGTTAAGCATGTGCGTGCCATGTAACAAAAGTGGTGTGTACTAGATACAATTTTGAAAGGTTGCGTGTATAAGGTGATATTGGTTTTGCCATTATATTTTGAACATCCTTAATATAGTTTAGTGAAGCAGTTCAACGGTTCAGGGTGTTCAAAGTAATATGTTGTTTACGGGTTCAAAGTTATCTGCCCATTTTGTTTACCAAAACTAAACGCAAACCGCTGTGCGTAGTCTATTTGACTCCTTTTCAAATAATTTATACTATCCATCAACAAAAAAATTTATTAACTTGTTTAAAGTTTGAATACTAGTGCGGGATTCCTAAGTACGTCACTGCCAAGGAGAGAAACAAATTCTTAGCACTCATTTCACGCTTCCCATAAACTTATCCATTTATTCTAATATTTTGACCGATGAAAGCTCAAAGTAGCAAGCTATGATCATTCAATAGAATATTTTTTCTCTAGAACGATTCAACATGGTGTTTATTTTGTAAAAGGACTTTGGTGCAACAAGCTGTTTGTTCTACTTTTGTTTTTTGACTGGTCCGCAATTTAAGTTTGTTGAAGTATATTGATTATTGATAAGCAGCATCCAATAAGTTAATTCTTCAAAAAAATTCAAAACTTATGAAAGCAACTTCATTCAAAAGTCCTGGAAATATTAAATTAGATTGATGTTGGAACTTAGATTCTGTTTTAGTTATAACACCCTCCTTTACAATAAGTAATATACATACATTTTTAATGAAATTACATATATTGTCCAAACAAGTTCCATAATATATACTGTATTAAAGTAATTTTAACTTTATATTAATAAGAATATATTCTAATTTTACGTACAGTATACCTACCTTTTAACCTATAAATTTTGTCTTACCAGCATACATAGGTTGTCGCTCTCCGATTTTTTCTTTTTTTTTTTTACATGTACTCGATATTTATATCAAGCCAATAAATATATGTAATATGCGTTCACATAAATTTGTATATCATTCAATCATGATCGTTTACAAATGACTTTAGGCTATTTGCTATTAATAACTGGCATAGTTTCCATTAACTCTGCTCAAGAATTACATGCATTTTTTGTTTAATGTGATTTGAACTCTGATTTTTCATGATTTTCAGCCACTTACCGTTTGGACACGCCCTTGGGTGCTTTCATTAATATATGTTCCGTACATCTATTGATCATTTCACCAATTACCTGGTAAAGTAATATGATTTTGTGTAAGTATCATATGTGGAAATAAATTTTTAGACTACAATCTGATACTTTGCAAGTGGACAACACTATTTATCTTGTAAGGATAAAATTTTGGTTTGTTTTAGAGGTGATTAAGAATTTTTTGTTTTGTACCTTGATATAATGACAGAACACCAAAAAGTCCCTTAAAATCTTGCATCTTTTATTCTCAAAAGGTGGCCTTTTAAAAAGTTAATCTTGAATTGTCTACATCCATTCATCTGGTGCATACTACAAACTCCATTTATATTCTATGCTTCTTTTTATGGTTATACAAAAAACTCAGTATATGGTTTTTAGATACAATTTTAATAACAAAGACAAAGACAAAGAGCCACATCAACTGAGAAATCATGTAATCAATGTATATGCAATCTACAAGGATTGCTTTTGGTCCCCAGTGCACATGGATCTCAACAACTTGAGCAACATTCTTGCCTTATTTTTGGTCCTCTCACTACACTGGCTCTGAAGGAGTAACAATAACTGAGTCAAAACCCCACTATAGATAGCTTCTTCCCTAGCATGCATGAAATCATGACACACAATAATTAAAGAATTCACTGCACTTTCACTTCCTTCATTATCTGATGATACTCTAAATACCATCTTCACAATTGCACTAACACCATTTGGATGCTTTAAAACATCTTCTTTTGCATTTTCTACAACTAACAATGTCTCAATTGTTTTCATTGCCAATATTGGTGCCAGTAAGCTTCTATATTGGCACTTTGGAGCACTCACAATGTATGTTATGAGTGCCTTAACTGCATTTTCCTTCACTATAAATTCGCGATTTTGTTCGAGAGAAGATAATGCTGAAAGAGCTCTGATTGTTTCTTCAGAACCATCTAATTTGTTCTCAATAAGATGAACAAGTTCTTGAATTAAAATCTTGGATTTACCCAACATAGCTAAAAGTTCCTTTGACTGCAAAGATGATGAAATTGCCACTATTAAATGGCACAAGCTTTTCTTGATTATAAAAGTTCCTTTCTTGAATAGTATCAAGAAGTTTGTAAACTTGGATTCATCTTCTTTGAGCATGTTGAGAGTTCCCAAATCACTAAATGGCAACAATTTCAATGCACAAACAAGTGCTTTCTCCAAAAATATGAGACTTTCTTGGAAATTTGAACTTTGATCAACTGCATTTTCCAATGCTAATTCAAGAATCAATTGGAAGAAGTCTAGTTGAATCAAGAAAGAGTTTTCTAAAGGCAAATCTTCTGACAAAGCAACAACTTTCTCTAGTGCTTGAACTTTTGTGTCCAATGTAGACTCCTTTGACTGAAGATTGTGTTTGAGACCAACAATTGAATCATCAACTGTTTGAAAGTAATGAAGATCATAACCATTTCTGCAGTTCAATTGAAGCCATTGATGAATCAAATGGCGAAGGGTGTGGTTTGGTACAATAGAAGAGTCATTGAGTTTCTGCATTGTAACAGGACAAGTTGAATTGCCACAAGATAGCCATTTTTCAATGCTGGATCTATCATATGTTTGGCCTGTGCATAAAGTGACTGGATCTTTAAACAAATCTAGACTTATTGGACACCTAAATAAGGGAGGAATTGCCATTTCAGGCTCCTTCATTGACCAAAAGGATAACGAAAAATGATCAATTGTATAGATGATGATGTTAACAGTAACTGACAACAACAACAACAAACTCAATGAAATTTACAAGTGGGGTTTGGGGACCTTAAAGCAGTTAAAGAGATATTCAAGTGAAATAAATGAAATCTTGAAGTGGGATTTTAGTTTAATTCCAAAAGGGAAGTGTACAAATGACAAGAGAGTTGGAATAGTGAGTTTTCACTTGGTTGATTGAACATAGAATAACACAATGGGATGTCTAAAAGATATATATCCTGTTTTTATGAGCCAAGAAAAATAGAGTGAAAGAGTAAGCCTAAGATTGTTTGTAAGGTTGCAGATTGAAGTGGAACAAGGCACATGAAAGAGGAAGAAGTGGGGTGAGAAGCTAAGCAAAATATATGAAATCTAAGTGGGAAAAAATGAGAAGAGAACAAAGAGACACAAACACAAGAGTTGGCCAAAAGGAGGAGGAGTAGGCCTTATCTAAGTAAAGCAAGAAAGACTGGTAGATTGCAACTAATGAAATAGAATAATTTTAGGTAAGAGAGTGAATGGGACCACTTTTGTCTTTTTTTTGCCAATAGATTGTAACTACAGTCAAACTGACCCACCCAAACACACTCATATCAAAAGTTCATGTCTTTGAACTTTGAATCCCCAAATTATACTTGTTTGATGTGACACCCTCCTTACCACAAAAAGAATATTACTAGTAATTTTTTGTAAAAGAAGAAACAAAAGGCATCTCTTTGTCTCCACATTTTTAACCATTGGATATTCATTCAAAGTTCACTTATTTGATTAATTCAGATTTATTACAACAAGAAAAAGTGAGCTCTACGAATAGTGCTCGAAATAGTTTTGTAAAATTATCACATTTCTTAAATATTCTTACTTCTGGCACATACTAAAAAGTAATCTTAAACATAAACTTTAGCTTGTATTAACTTTATTTAAATTCTCCACAAATTTATCTTAATTCCCTTATAATCAGTTCCATGAGACTGGAATTCAAATACTTCGATACTCAAGTTTTTATAATTAAAAAAAGAATAATATTAGTCTATGCTTTCATACTTTCTTTTACTTTTCTTTTTCTACCAATTGATGTTCTAGATTACATTAGGTAAAGCAGTGTAGGCGTGATAGTCCTTGATTCCTTTTTTTTAATCCGGTATTTAGAGTCTGACTAAAATCGGAGACGTGTCGGAAAGTTTCACATTTTGGGGTAAAGTGTTTCCTAACAAAAGAGACTCGATACTCAAGGCTCAAACTCAAAATCTTTGATTGAGGATAAAATAGTACTTACTACTCACCACAGTCTAATCTTTGGTAGTTAGTCCAAATGTGATTCTCCTCTTATAAGCAGGGGCGGATTTAGGGGAACGAAAGGGGGTTCATCCGAACCCTTCGCCAAAAAATTACACTGTATATATAAGGCAAAATCTGTTTTTTACCTCTATATATTAAGTTTTGAACCCCCTTGACATAGTCCAAAAGTGTAGCTTAGTGGTCAAGAAGGTTCAAAATCTTTGAAAGGTCATAGGTTCAATTCCCACTAGCTATGATCTTTTTTTTCTTGAACCCCTTCGCGGAGATCCTGCCTCCGCCACTGCTTACAAGTTGGGTATTGAAGAACTCAAAAGTTACCACTAATGTATGCATAAACGTAAAAGAGTTTAACTTTGACGTTCATGTATCAAAATAAAAATTGGATGAATCCATAAGTAGGCCAGTAACTAGGTTATGTAAGCAACTGGCCTATTTGAGTATATTTTGACTGGCCAAACAAGGCATTTGTTTTTTCCCTAGTCAAAGTGCAACAGCTCCAGCTAATGTTGTCCACTTTTTTTTATTCGCTGCATACCAATATAGTACATGATTCTATTAATTGGTCAGTAGTGACTATAATAGTCAAATACAGTACATGTGCACATCCTATGATCTCATCTCTTAATCTCATTTCTTTTAAGTACAGAAGTTTTTATCACAGATTCAAGATTTGGACTTAGTAAATTTGCAGTGGATGAGCGGAAGTGCGAAATATCTGGAAACTCGGGATAGTAAATGGATTTGAAGCCCTCTTGTTTTGATTGAATTTGATTTCGTTGCGCCCTGAATCAATCAAAAAACTTATTGATTTGATTCATCCGTTTTATTTATTTGGGCGAGAGGGAGGCTGTGTGTCACCTGGGCTATAGCTTTTCCGTCGGTTGATTTTCATCCACTCATGTTTAATGATGATAATTGGATGATAAGTCGAAGCCTCTTTCTGCAAAGCTTAACAAATTAGAATTTATAGGGTCGATAGGATGTATAAGAATAATACTCCTATTGAATATGGTGTATTAGTAGTGCTAGTAATGCTGAGATAAGTTATGCTAGGATTATTACTTATCGACAATTTGATTCGATATATTAAAGGTTTTGAAAAGATAGTCATCTTTATACATACTTATAAATGTAGTAAAAATTATGGCATTGCTAATGATATACAGTCAAACCTCTTTATAATAGTCTAATTTGTTCCGAATATTTTTTGATGTTATAACGAAGTATTGTTATAGAGAACATATATTATAACATAACATAAAAATTGGTTCCGAAAAAACTTGGCTTTTATAGAAAAATATTGTTATATAGAGATATTGTTATAGAGAGGTATGACTGTAGTTGTTATATATAAGAATCAATGTTTAAAAAGATAGAGGCGTAAGGTAGGGCATTTTATTTTACACAGGGCAAGGCGTAAGCCCCGAGACATAGGGAGCAAGTCCCATAGATCTTTAAATTTATTAATTTATAAATTAATAAAATAGCAAAATAATCACTATATATATATATATATAAACAATGCAATATTGTTAATGTTACTATAAGATAAAAATGAACTATAACGTCTTATCTTTCAAACGATTAAAAGATCATAATATTTTAAAAATATTATCAAATTATACGGTTTATCCTCTCTAAAAGTTAATAATCAATAAAATTTCTCAATAATATAATTTAAAATATTACTCCTTATGAATAAATTAAAATTGTTTTCAAATAGTAAAATAATAAAAGTTTGATAGTTTTGAGAGACATAGAACTAAAATATGAATATTTGTAATAAGTGAAGAAGCAAATTTTGGCGATTCAAATGATATTCACTCTCCAATGTTCTCAATTAGTAAATACACAATACCATGATTCATTATTTTGAGTTATTCTCAGTTTTTGTATATCTATTGATGCATAAAACTTTAATTATTCATTTGTTAAAAAAAATTAGGTGTTAGCAATGCTAATTAAGAAATTTGATGCATGATTTGCGCTAGAAACTATTAGTCGAGCCCCAAGCAAAGAGCGTTAGGCGTATTTCAGGCGCATAATCAGGCGCTTGAAATCTCACAGAACTAAGCCCCACACGTGATCCCCGAAGCGTTTTGATATTATCCCGTCCCGGGGCGAGTACCGAGGCAAGTCACAAGAGAATCTTTTAAAATACTGATAAGAATAATAATGAGTATTAGGTTGAAAAAATACTACCAAACAAGAAATTAATAGTAAAGCTAATACATATCCCTCCACCCCATAATACATCATATCAAACGACCCCATAATCTTTGGCTATCGAGAGTAAGCTTCAATAGGGGAGATTTGCATATATACCCAATTTTTGGGTCACAATTTAACTTATACCCGCTTTGCAAAAAATAATTGCAAGCGTACCCACTTTTCGGGTAACTTCATACATACGGGGCTTGAAGTAGCAAGAATTTATGTCTGAAGTTTGAACTTCAGAATTTTTTGCCTGAAGTGTGACCTTATCAAAGTAAAACTTCAGATATTTTCATCTGAAGTTTGGCCTGACTTGCAAAAGCAATAAAAAAAACTTCAGTTCGTAATGCAAACTTCAGATAAATTAGTCTGAAGTTCTTCAGTTTGTAGTGCAAACTTCAGACAAATTAGTTTGAAGTTCTTCAGTTTGTAGTGCAAACTTCTAACAAAATCAGCTTGTTATATTTGAACTTCAGATAATTTTTTCTAGCATGATAGTTGCAAACTTCAGACAAAATTTAACTTGGTGATGTCTAAAGTTTGTCCCTGCAGTCCCAAACTTCAGTTGATGCTTCTTCGAGTTTTGACAATAAACTCTTGTTTTATTATTTACGTACTTTGTATTGGGGTGCAAACTTCAGATAAATTAGTCTGAAGTTCTTCAGTTTGTAGTGAAAACTTCAGACAAATTAGTTTGAAATTCTTCAGTTTGTAGTACAAATTTCAGACAAAATTAGCTTGTTATATTTGAACTTCGGATAACTTTTCCTAGCATGATAGTTGCAAACTTCACACAAAATTTAACCTGGTAATGTCTGAAGTTTGTCCCTGCATTCCCAAGCTTTAGTTGATGCTTCTTCGAGTTTTGATAATAAACTCTTGTTTTATTATTTACGTACTTTGTGTTGGGATATATTAATGTTTGAGAGACAGTGGCGGGTCTTTCTGTCTTCTTGATTTGTCGCTTTGTCCAGTTTTCAGAAATGATAACATGTGTAACTTACATGATAACATGTTTGAGAGAGATAAGAAGAATAAGAGGAAAAGAAGAGGAGGAAGAAAGGAGCGCATAGGTCGCAGGATCTGAAGTTGTCAAAATTAGGGTATAGGTTAAATAATTTTAAAAATATGGATATAGGTTAAATGAGAGAGACCAAATAAGGCTCCCCATGCAATTTTTACCTTCTCCAGTAAATTAAGAAAAAAATAAGAAAGTAAAACAAAATATAAGCAAAGTTAAAATTAGCGATATAAATTGCTATGATGTGGGGAATAAACTTACCTACACCCTATGTATACACCAAATTTAGTTAAATTAATCATAAAAAATAAACTAGCATCTACTAGAAGTTTTTTTAATAACAAAATTAAAATAAGGTAATACAGTCCTAATAACTGATGCGAAACTTTTTAGGGTCACAATCTTTGTTTTGTTTCTCGTCTCAGTTTCTTGATGCATCTTGGGGTTCCTGTTCTTTTATTTCTCCCTTAAAGATCGAAAAAGGTAATTATGTTAGGGTTCAAACTAAGAGCTATACGCAATAAAGATAGTATTGTACTTATATTCTCGTATTGTACTTATCAGAATATATTAAAATAATTATTTAAGTGGAGTAATACAATGAGAGTGTACTTACAGCAAAAATTAGTTTAAGAAGAAGGAAGGAGATCTTCCTTTCAATATATTTGCTGTGGAACAACAGAAATAGCTAGAAAATATTTATGATTATTAATATATTATTATTTAAGATTATATAAAAAATACATGGAGTTAACTATGATTAAATACTACTGATTATATAATAAATAAGTTGATAAGTGTCATTTAATTATTAGTTTGGTGTATACACCGAATGCAGGTAAATTTTCATTTCGAGTTTTCTTAAAGATACCGTGGCAAAAATTT